TTTGATCCGCCGCCTCAATCTTGGTCGACGCTTCTGCACCGCCGTGCCAAGAATGACATAATGTCAAACCCAGATTGCCGTCCTAAGCAGCTATGCTTGAGAGTATGGTACTTGATCAGATACGTTGGTGATCTCGACACGGCGGCTAAGTATGCTCGTTTGGCTGTTTGCAGCGGAAGCAACTCCGAGTTCACATCAACAACATGTCAATTCATCATCGAAGGCATGTTGCAGGATTCTTCTGATCTCTACTATTTCTTCTTCAATTGGCATAAGCTCAGACCCAACGTCCATTGCTTGAACTCCATCTTCGAATCCTCTTTAAAAATAGGCTTTATTACCGTTGACCGTGTTTTCAGTTTGCATAACCTAGCCGTCAAATCTGTTAAAATCTACGACTACCCAAGTTCCGATAGTTTCAGGGTAATGACCAAAGGTTAGTCCACTCCGGTCGGTTGGACCTAGCCAAAGCCGTGCTTAAAGACAAGACAGTTGATAGGAACATCTACCCGGATCACGTGGCGTTCAACAATATCATCCGCGGGTTTTTGGGTCTTGGGAATGTAGACGAGGCGAATCGTGCTGATGATCTCGGATACATTGATGCTATCACTTTTAAAACTATGATCGATGCTTACGTCAAGGCTGGAAGAATCGATGATGCTTTAAAAACCTCCAACAAGATGATCGATGCAACTCTAAAGGAAGGCTCCTCCGATCTCTTTTGACTATTTTTCGTCACTTGGTGATCTTTATTTAGTGTCTTTGTTTTTTAGATGTACTTGTTTTAGACATACAATAATAGAGTTTGAATGGTATGAATTAGTCTTGGGCGTTCGGATATTCAGTTCGGTTTCGGTTTGGTGTGATTCGGTTTCCGATACTTTTGGATCTTGATTATAAAATTTATTCGGTTTTTTAGGAATTTTGGTTCGGTTTCAGATCTTGAACAAAACAATTGATCTAGTAATCTAATATTTTTGGATTATTTTTGGTTTGGTTTTAACCGAAAAAGTTCGGATATGTTGTGATATTTCAGAAATTTTCGGATTATTTTGGATATTTTTGCATTTTTTCAGTTTTTGTTTGACCATCGGATATTTTTATATTTTTTACTCTAAAAATAACAAATATTTTAAATATAATATTGTATTTTAAATATTTCGGATATCCATTCGGTTTCGGTTTGGTATGATTCGGTTTCGGATACTTACGGATCTTGAGTATAAGATCCATTCAGTTTTTTTAAAAATTTCGGTTCGGTTTCGGTTCGTTTTTTTTTTGTTTGGTTTCGGTTCGGGTGCATTATGTTGAAAAATATGGCCTTATGTTGGTTCGTCTTAGTCAAAAAGGAATAAAATGAATGGAGGTGCTTATGTTTTAAAAGAAATGATAGTGGTGTTGTCATTCCACACAGCCGAAGCGCTTCATTGGCATTTTGTAGACGTGGTTTGGTTATTCCTATTTGCTTATCATGTCATGTGAAGGCAGATTTGGAAACTATTGAACTAAGTTTCAAATTTCAAACAAATATTGTGTTGTTGGTTCAACTAACAAGTTTAAAACAGAAAAAGGATAAAAAGAGAAGCACAACAAATGCAACACTTATTATGGGTCTCGATGAATAGCAAGCTTTCTGATATTTGAAATGCGCAGTTTGTTCAAGGTCTTGATAGCATCATCGACTCTCCCTACTTGAACATACCCATTGATCATTGCTCTGAATGTTGCAAGGTCAGGCCCAACCATCAAGTCCTCTCCGTCAACGTCCGTAAACATCTCGGCGAAGAGTGTCTCTGCCTCTGACACTTTTCCATTCTCGCAGAGACACGCGATCATCGTCCTATAACATGTTTTCCTAAGCCGCTCGAGTGGCACAGTCTTTTCACTAAAATACTCGGACATTATGTTCACCGTCTCGGAATCACAGACTTCTATCAACTCTCCAAACAATTCCCACGCCTCTGTTTTCCTACCTTGCTCCACAAGAACTTTTAAAACCCTGTTTCCTCATCTTTGCCTTGCTTGAAATAAAAATTCATAAACGAAACGTCGAAGATCGTAATTGCCTCGTCATACTCTCTCCGTACATGTTTACTATCCAATCGTTTCCATTCCTCCAAAATTTGCCTAGCCTTTACCAAGTTCCCTATATCCAAGAACCCGCGAATTAGAATATCATAGACCATGAAACTACTACTACTCCACCTCATGCTCATGGATTCCACTAAATCACAAGCTTCATCGAATCTTTTAGCATCAACCAAGCCTTTGGTGAGTATCATATATGTCTCCATCCCTGGAACTAAACGTCCCTCGAGCAAAATATGGCGGTAGAGCTCAATAGCGTGGTCGACGCATCGTTGGTCGCAGTGTGATTTCATAATGATATTACATGAGAGCATGTTTGGGAGAGTCTGAGACTCGTTGAAAAAGTAATTGAACAGATGGCTTCGTCGTACCGTCCTACTCTGGCGCTGCACATGACGCCCATTACGGAGTTGCAGATGAAGACAGTGTCACTTTCGACACGAAGTTCGTCCAAGACAGCGAGGCGCGAGAGCTTCGAGGCTTTGTCCAGATTACACATCTCGATCATTGCCGTGACTCTGTAGCGCAGAGAAAGTGGGCGGCTATCGAAATCTGTGATGGAGACCGGATCAAGCTTGAGGAGTGAGGAAGGGTCTCTTCCGAGTGGGTAAGGCCTAAACGCCTTCGCAACCGGAACGGCCTTTGTTGAATTATGGACTATGCGGCGGAGGAGGGACATGACCTGTGAGTTAGGGTTCAGTTTTGCAGGGATATCTTCGATTTCATGGGATCGTGAGGAGGAGAAACCAAAAAGAAAGAGCGACGGGAGAGAAAAAAAACACAAACTATTGACACGTCAGCTGTAAGAGTCGCTCTTTAAAGTACCAAGTTTACGGATCGATGCTTAGTAATTACAGCATTTTAAAAATTTTTTTTTGTTATGAACTCTAGACTCTCCGTTGGAGATGGTCATATACTATATATATTGAACATAAAGCCATAGAGCATGATTTTTTTTTTTTTTTTTTCTCAACTTCAACTATTCATTAACCAAAGGATTACATCCAAATTCAAGTTACATAACATTTACTTCTATAGAATTGGACCAAATGCAATAGGATGATCTAATAAAACCCTGGATCACTAGCGGATCCAACGCTACCTGATCGAAAGACCATTGCATTTTTTTTAACCACAATGAGATAGATAACACTCCACAACTCAGAGTGAAATCACCTTTAACCACCTAAATTACTCTTTGATACGAAAACAACTACTAACATAGAGAATATCAAAATCTATACTAAAGATCTAAGCAAATCCAAGCTATAAGAACCTCATGATCGGCGTGTAGGACTTGTCCAAATAGCATCAACACCAAAAGGCACATCATCAGAAAGACTTAGATTCTCCAGTTTTCATTGTTTCGATCCTAAGCCAAAACGGACAATACATCCGACTGACCCGACCAAAAGACGTGAAACAAGACCCGTATGAACTGATGCTTCTCCGCATGAACCATTCAAAGCCCCGAATGCTAATCATCTAAAGATAAAAGTTTTGAACACAAATTAGCATAGCTTCACCTCACGATGCATTCCAGATTGGCCATCATAGTATCTGCCTTGTTGACTCACTTCTCGGCCGGACTGAACCCAAGGAATTGAGAATTCTCACATGAACGCCAGCTTTGAGAATAACCTCAAATCTCGGTCACCGACGCCCACATGACCCCAACACCGGTAAAGACTCGAAAGCTCGCTTCCACCAAAGCCTCCGGACAGCTAGGTACTCCGGCTAAAGGATAGGTGAAGCAAGAGGGCGTGACTCACGAGCTCAGATCCGACGCCCTGAATCTACAAAAGGTCGCTCGGAGCAGCTTCGAACCACACCAATCTCCTGGAGAGGGAAACAAGCCGAGATCTCTCTCCCAATCGTCCGCCGTCACACCGTAACAAACGCAACCGAGGAACTATTCCTAGCACTGTCAGAGAAGCAGAAGACGAGATCTTTCACCCTACTACTACTACTACTACTACTACAAAGGAAATTAAAAGAAAGAGAAGAGACAGAGCCCTCTCACACCGCCGGCGAAGCCCTAGGCGGCGGAGAGGCAAACAGAACAAAAATGGAGGCGCGGTAGATCTAGGGTTTTGAGAGAGAGAAAAGCCATAGATCATGATTAGTTTAGGGACATATTGGCCATGAATATTTTGTAGTTTATAAATGAGTTTTTGCTTTTGGTTTTAGCTTTATAAATGATGACAAAAAAAAATGGGTTTTAGGTTTTGGTTTTTGCAAAATCTTGAATGGTAATTTGTTTTTAATTTTTGGTTTTATGTGAAAAAAATAAAAATTATACATTCCCTTAGATATGGTGTATTAATAATAATTCATACAAAACTAAATCATCTTTAGTTTTTGATATGGTGTATTAATAATAATTCATACAAAATTTAACTCTCCAACCATTTTTGGGTTATCATCTAAGTTTAGAACAACATAATGATTATTCATATCCCTGTGCTGTAGCGCGGGTCCGATTCTAGTTTTTCTAATTAATAGTGTTCACTCTAGTTTGCATATCATTCTCTTTCTAATTAAATCACATGTTAGGGAAATCTAAAATCCTCCCTTTACATTCTCAGTCTTCAAATAAGGTGGTATGGACTTGATAGGGTTAATCCTTAACCCATTACAATTTTTGTTCGATTTAGGCCCATATTCAAATGATTTAGGCTCATAGACGAAATTTTGTTAGCCAAAAAGAGTAAATGAAGTATTTCACTGTATTTTGATTATTTTGGATATAACTATTTAAAATCAAAAACAAGAAAAACAAAAAAAAATCCAATTTTCATTTATTATAACTTTTAAAGATATTTAATATAATAAACAGATGAACGCTTATGAAATATAAAATAAGAATTTAAAATTTGATATAAGATGGTGTAATTAACAAAAATGACTTATCAAAATATAATGTCAAATGAACTTTATTAAAAAAAGATGAATGTCTTACATTTATTATTAGGAAACCAAACCATTGTCTCAAACGATAGGCAACACTTACCATCCTTTACCAATAAACAAAGCCAAATCACAGATGACTCCCGCAAACATCCCTCCAGACAAACATAGCACCAATATGTTTCCTAGTGCATTTTGCTCTGGTGCCTAAACCAATTTCACAATTTATAAACTAGTATCATCATCACCATTTTAAGAAAAGAAAAAAAAAAGAATAGTGAGGAAAGAGAGAGTTGAGTATACCAAGTGACCCTCTGGAGCTGTTGTTAGTATACAAACAGTCAAATATCCATTGCTTGATCCCAAAACAGACGTCAAGAAAATTATCCAGCCTTGGTTTCCATATTTAGCTGTGAAATAGAGAGCTGGAACCAACAAGAAACGCCCGCATGATATTATCATGAGAACTTTTTGTGACCTTATCTTCAACTTCTTTACCAAGGGAACATATCTCCCAACCAAATCCGAGAAGTTGAACACTGCTATCAACACTAGAAGGAACCTGTTTCATACAATTTGTTTTTTTGTCAACCACACATTAATTAAAATATTGTTCCATGATTGGCAATCCAACTAGGAGAGAAATCGTTTACAAAAGAAACTTCCAAATCGTTTCATACCATTTTTTAGTTATCTATTTTTTTTTTAAAAAAATTTGTTGTCGTAAGTAAAAATTTGTGATCTTACCAGTCTCCTAAATTGTGTTTTCCCATGTCCTTTGATAGAAATCCATGGAAAATGCTAGTTGTCAGTAGATATACCAAGAACAAGTTGATAGCATAATCCATGTTCATCAAAAATAAGACTTTGTTGCTGAACCGTTGATCCAATATCATCTTGGCCTCCTTCGCCTACATTCAAATATAGGGTGTATGAAAAAAAACTCTCATACATAGTGATCAAATTATAAATAATTTTTTTTATTGAAACATTATTTAAGAATTTTAATGTACCTTTTCCGTTGGTAACCCTTGTATGCCTCCAGCTGCTAGGTCTGCCAATACAGTTTTGGACCCTTGAGCCATAGCTTGTGCACGGTAGTACTTGACGATGGCTAGCTTTGGAAAGATGTAAGCATATAGAATGATGCAAACGAACTCAAAAAAGACGGATATTGCAAACAACAACACTGCAGATGTCGACAAACAATTTCATATTTAATCGTAGGGTTTAAATTACTAAAATTGATGTATTTTTAAACGTAAATAATATAGGTATAAACTTACTAGCTCCCTTGCGAAGGTCCTCCCTCGAGTTTTTGAATGTTGCTTTTGTGACCAGCCTTAGTCCAGAGGTTAGTGCTCCTGAAGCAGCTAAACCGGCTAGAAACGACTGATATCGATAGCCAATACATTAACAAAGGTCAAAAGCTACCATTGTGAACCAAAATATTCACATAAATAAACCTTAACATTAACAAAAGTCAAAAGACTAGTAGTTTGAGCTTAAATACAAGCACATGAAATTAAATATATTAGCCAAAACTAAACCATAACAAAATAAGATGTATACATTCCAAGACTTGAAAAATAATTGTGAATTTTTTCTAAGCAAACCACATGTAAACTCCAACACAGTAACTAACAATTGGGAGGATTGTAAATTACCTGAACAAATTCAGGTGCCATCATAGAAAAATCTCCAATCATCCCACCTTGAACATGTGCATTCGCTACACCAAACACCACACTGATGATGCATAGTCCAATAAAAGAGCTAATACTTCCTCTTCCCAAAGTAGATAAATCTAACTGCCACTTAACAACGTTTAAAATAAATTATTATCAGCAAAAATATTACGATGAGTAAATGTTAACCATCAAGCTTATGATTGTAGTAAGAAAATTAAGAAAAAACTAATAAAAATCATCAAAAATGTATTGAAAACTTGTATAGAGTGAAACTCACCACTAGGACAGCAAGAGAACAAAAGGCAAAGAGACTGTATCCAAACAAGTTTCGAAGTCTAGTATTGAGGCTTGCCTCTTTGTAGACAAGAACACTAAGGACTCCGATGGTAATTGATTGATAAATTAAAGTAAGGATTCTTGATGTATGGTACTGCTAGGATGTTGAAAAAACGAAACAATCAAGACAGGGTAAGTGGCCAGCTGAATATAAGCAAGAAAGCAACATACATAAGCTTATTAAAAAAAAAACAAAAACAATTTGCACTTACGGGGAATAGATTAGCATAAGAGTCTATAGTTGTTACCATGGTGGTCCATGGTAAGTAGGTACCAAGCCCAAGAACAAAGGAAATCCCAAGTGCCAAGCATCTTCCCTGAAAAAATTAACCAAAGGTTTTGTGACATTTGAAAATACAAAAACTTAACAATCGTTGTACCTATAAGAAAAAGGATATAAGAACCTCAAAGTTTGTCGTCTGTGAGCTCCTATCGGCCATCTCGCACACCGTCGAAAGGGAACGAACTCGAAGCTGTTGAAGAAATAGTGTAACTAGTTTGTGTGGCTACGACACACGCTAACCATATCTTCTAAGTACTTATGGGATTCACTATGTGGTTACGATCCCTTCTTCAAATTTGGTAAAAATCCAATCCCTAATCCTTATTGGTTACTACATAACACGCGTACGCGTATTGGCTAATTAGTTAAGCTCTTATCCATTCAATTCAATGAGTAAAATATCTTAGTTCTAATCATACGGTAAAAAAGGCCTCGTTTTGGATAACGATTGGTTTTGAGTACATAACACACTTATGGGCTAATTAGCTTTGGGCTTTATTTCCAATATTCAATATGGTAAAGAAGTTACCAGTAAATCTATACCTTGATATTAAGTGGGCTTCAGTCTAGATCACCCATAAATATATATCGTAATTAAAGGATTTCTATTTTTGATAACAGGATAACAGGCCTCTTGCCAACAAAGTTTCGATGGGGAGAAACACAAGAAAAAACATTCCAAGAGTTGAAGAGATGCCTCACGGAAGCTCCCCTCCTAGTCCTACCGGACTGCAACAAAAAAAGTTCGAGGTCGAGTGCGATGCCTCCAATGATGATATCAATGCGGTTCTCACCCAAGGAGGCAAACCGGTGGCATATTTCAGCCAAAAAATTAGTGGAGCCATCTTGAATTAGCCGACCTACGGCAAGGATCTGTATGTGTTAGTACGCGCTAGGGAGACTTGGCAAAATTACCTCCTTGCCTGTGAATGTGTGATCCACACCGACCACAAAATTTTGAAGTACCTCTGAGGGCAAACCAACCTTAAAAGAAGACACGCTAAGTGGTTGGAGTTCATCGAAGCCTTTCCTTACGTCATCAAGTATAAGAAGGAAAAGGAGAATATTGTAGCCGCTGATCATGACCATGGATGCAACCATCTATGGATTCCAGGGCCTTAAGGAGATGTACGAGGCTGATCCAGAATTTGGTGAAAGTTATCGAGATCATGGCAAGACTAACTTCGACCGATTCTTCATCCATGATGGGATTCTATTCCGAGACCATCGACTATGTGTCTTGTACGGATAGATATCAGAATTACTTATGTGAGAAGCGCATGGAGGCGGACTAAACAGGCACTTTGACGTAGACAAAACTTTGGCCGTATTACGAGAGCACTTCTAGTGGCCTCAGATGATATGAAAATGGTCGAACAAGACCTAAAGCTCGAATATGAGGAGCAGCTTGTACCGGAGGAACAACTCGTAGCTGAGGAGCAGCTCGAAGCGGAGGAAGCATTAATCATTATGGCCAGTGGCGGACCTAGGTAGGCGGTGGGTGGATCAGTTGACCTGGGTAAAATATGAAAGACAATGTTTTTGCACATATATTAAAAGAAGTAATAGCAGCAGAGCTGGTTTCCCCCTTATTTGACACCCCCAAACCATAGTTCGATTCCCCTATATCACAATAATATTTGTTTTATTACCTATTTTAACTATTTAAAATAAATTTGACCACCCTAAATTTTTATCCAGGGTCCGCCACTGATTATGGCGAGTACTCTAACACGAAGCAGCTCAACCAAACAATCAATGGCCTTCTTAGGGAGCTAAACAAGAAGGAATAAGTCGTGGTTCAAGTTTCCTTCATGATGATCATGGCCCAAGAGGTTCAGTAAAGGGTTAAGTGTTACTTATGCATTCTTTAATGCTCGCTCCTAGATAATCTCTTCTTTTTCGAGCTTGTTGAGATCTCCACATTTCATCGTGTTATGCTCCTTCTTTGTTGGTCAATTGATCTCGCCCATTCTTTCTCATCACAACTTACCGTGGAATCTCACTGAAGGCTCGAGAGGATGATCTAGGTCTCCATGCTCACACAATTGATTAAATACACAAATCAATCAGCATGCAATCCATATCATCATTTTCCATCAACGAAATTCACACATCACATTAAAAATAACCAATTTACTCCCGCCCTAGAACCGTAAGGGCTCTGATACCAAATTGAAAGAACCCATCCCATTTTTTTCTTTTAAACATGCAAACCGGATTAACCCAATTAATTCAAACCTGCTAACCCGACCATAATAATTTAAATCAATTAAACCAAGCAATCTCATTAAAGTAAACCAACAATATTAACCAGCGGAAGACTTAACCAAAAATCCAATAAAACAATTCCATTAAACCAACAAGTTCAACCAAACATTATTCCAAAACATGATCATCCTAAAATGTTTCTAAATTCCATTCTAACACCCTAACAAATCCAACAATAATCTAAAACACCAATGAGCGCCTAGATCATCCTCCTCTCCACGCCATGATTCCACGGATCACACTTTCCTTTTACCTGCATCAAATAAAGAGATGCATAAGTATTTCATAAATACTTAGTGAGGGCGATCTTCCCATCTACGAGCTATACACACAAGCAATGAGATAACACCCACATAAATAACAAAAACAAACCATCCAGGAAGCTAAACATCCAATAACACATCCAATTCACCTACAAATCATCACAAAACAAGTCACTCGATCCCAATCACTTAGATAAGCTCATTGTCACGCACTCACCTTAACAAGGTGATTTAAATAACAAAAACAACCAGGAAAGACTCTCCTTGCGGCTGCAACAGCCAAACAACGCCTGTTAACTTCTTAATTTACTACGGTGGAAAGCAAGACCCAGACGTCACGAAGCTCCCCACAAAATTTGGTGCCGATCAGAGAAACGATGAAACCACGATCACACTTACAAACTCCGCTGATCCCAATTCGCAACAGAGAAAACACATCTCACCAAATTGCATATAACTCACTAAATATTAATCCGAATTCACTTCTGTAAAAAGGAGAATCAACGTACACGCCTTAAGAACAAACCTACCAAAATTCATTACCTTTCGATAAGATTTGATACGTCGGAACTCTATTCTACCAAGACGTGACGAATCTGCTTCTCTTGCCTTAAACACCAAAGCAAAGCTAACACTCTCCTTCTCACAAGTGAACTTGTCCTTCTCCTTTTCTCAACTCAACTCTCAGACACAACAGCTACAAAACAAAAGAGAGAAGAAGCGCTCCTTATAAAAGTTAGGGTTTTTGGTTTAATCTGCTTAAACCATGATTTACCTAAACCGACATTAATTAAACCTCCTTTGATTCAATTGACAACTCGACCAGTTTAGGTAATCAACCGGAATTAAACCGACTCCACCCGAATTCTTATACACAATCAAGTCTCCTATTATTTTCCAGAACACGGGCGTTACATCGGTTTTCTTGACAAGGTTTTTAACGAGGCCTAAGTAACATTTTCAAGGCCCTTTATCAAGCCAATTTTGTGGGTCCAAGGCCCATCACTTTGCCTTGGCCCTTTTTTTAATCTTTTATCTTCATTCTTGAATCTATTGCTTATTTAATTTCATCCTCTTACATGTTTTCTCCCCTTGTGCATGCTCTTACATTCTTCTCCTCCCTCTTCTCCTTCATCTTCCTCTCCTATATAATCCACTTGTAGTTCTCATTTGTAACTCATCTATCTTTTTATTAAAAACTCTTTTAAGTTAGATCAATCTTCTTGTTCTTCTCTTTGGTTTCTAATATCCAACAAAAAGTTCAAGTACGGTAAATAAAAGGCTTTTCCGTAACCTTTGTGCGAGCATTCGCTCCATATCCTTTGATCTAAGTGATCTCACGATCGTTTGGATGCAAAGCCTATCCCGTTCTCAACTTCACGAGTCTCCATTCTAGAAAGATCTTATCACCAGATGAAGAGGATGGTGAGAAATTCTGTGGCCAAGTTTTGGTTTTTTCCAAAGGCCAAATCCATGACCCGACCGCACGGTATGTACATGCCATTGATGATCCATGGATTTTTTCCTTGGCCTTCCGCCGATCGATAAATATCTTTGTAATAGTCGATCGATTTTTGAAGATGGCCTACTTCATCCTATGCAACAAGACCAACAACGTGGTTAACTTGGCGAACCTTTTTCCGAGACGTTGTTTGTTTGCACGGGATATCCCAGACGATAGTATCCGATTGAGAGCCCAAGTTCCTCAGATATTTTTTGCTAACAATTTGGACGAAGCTTGGCACAAAACTCCTCTACTCGACGGCTAGCCATCTGCAAACCGATGGACATACGGAGGTCGTCAACCGGACGTTGGATTCTCTATTACGGACAATTATCGCCAGCAAAAAGGGCGTATGGATTGACTGATTGCCCCATGTTGAGTTTGTCTACAACCGCGGGAAACACTAGGCCACCAAGACATCCCCGTTCGAGGTCGCATATGGGTTCAAGCCTTTGCTCTCTTGGATTTGCTACCTTTCCCCTTTTTGCTGGCGATAACAAACCTTTTTGCTGGTTCAAGCCTTCGCTGGACCGGAACCATAACCTACAAGGTGTCGCGAAGAAAAGGTTCATTATGGAGCTGCATGCTAACATCTGCAGTAATATCGATAAACAGATAGAGCACTACACACGGATAGCCAACAAACACCAGAAGCCGAGAGATTGGGTTTGGTTACATTTACGACGCAAGAGATTTCCCAATCGAAAGAAGGATAAGCTCAGCCATCGAGTAGACGTCCCATTCAAAGTCGTCGAGAGGATCAACAACAACGCCTACCACCTCGCAATGTTCGGTGAGTCTCTTACTCCACCTCGTTTAATGTTACTGATTTGTCTCCTTTCGATGTAGGTGAACGAAGAAGAGGTTTTGAGGGAAAAACCTTTCCAAGGGGGAGGGGATGATGTGACCCCGAACACGGACATAGAAGGATTGAGGGACGCTGATCGCCAGACGGAAAAATCATGACCCGGTTAGATGGATACCGTTCAACAAACACGATCGAGTGTATAGATCTATATATTTGAAATTTATTTTTCATATTTTAAAAACTATTTAATTAATTCCAACTAATTAGGATCAATTTAAGTTATCATATTAAATTAGATACAATAATATTTTATAAGCGTGGTAAATCTTTTCAAACGTTTATAAACACTTGTAAATCCCTTTAAAACTCTTATAAAATTATTTTAAAAAAC